TCTGGGCAATTATCATTACAGAACTCAAACCACTTCTTTGTTCTGGCTATTTTAAGCCAAGCATTAGACATAGTAATGTCACCATTCTCTCTCCCAGTGCTTGGTTTCTGGTCTGTAAGGAATGAGATTGAGGACAAACACAGCGAAACCACCATGAACTTATGTGACCCAAATCAAACACATGAGGCTGCAAAAGCTCACGCGGTACTTGTGCTGCTTTTCTTTTTTTTGCAGAAATTAGGCAGTGTCCAGATGGGCTCCATATGTCCTTACTCCCTCCCTCCAGGGCCCTTTGGGAAAGCCCATGGCATATCAACATATCCTGCATAGCTGCTACAGCAGCCCTCTCTTCATCTGGTTTGCCCCCAAGAGCTTAAAAGTTGTTTATTCGGACACGGTTCTCACTACCAGGCACCCACCGACCCCAGGCTGCATTAGCACCACGTGCCAGCCTGAGACTCAGGGCAGGAGGGAATGGGCTCCAGCTCGCAGCAAGACGGCAACCTGATTCCCATTTCTCATGTGTGGTTCTAGAAGACACTTTTTAAAAGCAGGAAAAAGTCCTGGGGTGAAAGGATGCAAAAGGACCACCACTCAAGAGCAAGGCTGGGGGGAAAAATCCAGGCTACTGAAAGGTTTTTGCAACCTAACCTGGAGGTTGCATCACGTCTGGAAGCACGTGGTCTGCCTGCAATGGGGCATTATCCAGGCAAAAGGTACCACACCACAGATCAGGTTTTGCAGCACAAGCCAAGAATATAGCTAGAACAAAGGACAAAGTCTGTACTTCCCAAAACAAGACCACAACTTGCTCCAGAAACCGTAGAAAGTTACATAAATGGAAAAGCTGATTCATGAGAACAAAAATAAAAGCTTCTCTTATGGATTATAATGCCATTGTAAGTGCACTCATTCAATAACCCAAGGCCTAAAAATTTGTTAAATCCCACACCAATAAAACCCAGATCCTAGTGCATTCAACAAGTTTTTTCCTACCAGAAGAACCAAACATGAAAGTTAATGTCACCTCCATGTATGAGAGTCCTGGGGACCAGGATTCTCAACGGAGCCCAAGGCCCTTACGGACCCAACTCCCACCGACTCTTATTTACTCTTTGACACAGACTGCAAAGAGAATAAAATCCCCAGTGGGAGTTTGGCTTTTAGTCCCCTCAGCCTGCCTTGGAAAGTTCAGCCAGTAACACAGGCCTGGCTCCTCTGTTTGGTACAGCCCAGTAAAGCAGCCTGCTGAGCAGGTTCCTAATTGCTATGTCGCTGACTTGCTATTGAAGTTCAAGGAATTAGTTAAGAAAAAATAAGAAACCTTTTCTCTACTGCTCCAAAGGAAAGAATAGAGTAATACAATCATTATTTGGAAGATACTAATTTAGGAAACTAATCTCAGCCTAATTCTGTTCAGCAGCACAGGAGAACACTAAATACAGGATCTCACGCATTCACTTATGCCGTGAAACAGCATCGAGAGTTGAAGTAACCCACGCAGGCTCACCGTTTCTGAAAGGTTCCCGAGCTGCCCACTCCTTCCTCGTCTTGGGTCAGTGCTCAGCACCCAGCTGGATGGTGCATTTGCACTATGTATGTGTGTACATGCACTGTGCACATGCATATATGCCTGAATGGTGGGACAGCACTGCGTATGCTCTAGGCATGGACTTTCGTGCCATGTAAAGTATGATAGACATTTAGGAAAGGTAATGGTGTAAATACCGCTAATGCCTGGTTTCCATCACCCTTGGATGCACACAGGACAGCGTTACTTCCCAAGAGGGCTTTCTTACCCGGGGGAGATCCAGGCGAGTACTGAGTGTCACATCACTTCAGGTGGAGGTGTAAATACAGTGCTGCGAACAGCGTGCAACACAAGGTGAATACTTCAGGTGGAGGTGTAAATACAGTGCTGTGAACAGCGTGCAACACAAGTTGAACGGTCATGGAAAGCAACTGCTCAGAAATAGGATTCCACAGGCTCTTTACAGTTACACTACGTGGTGATTTGGGGTATTTGTCACTTGGTACCTACAAAGGTAGACATCTGCTAGCAAAACTCGAGGCTGAAGTACATTAAGCAACCCCTTAATCATGTTGTGGGCATAATCACACAAGCAGTTGACAGAAGCAAATCTGTAACAAGTTCACCTTTGTTAGTGGTGCATGATATCAACAGTCAAAAGTATTCGGACTCAAACGGCATCCATACTTTCATTTAAATGTACACAGGATTCGAGTTTAATGTTGCAGCAGGATTTCTGAATATCGCTAGTTTTGTGTCAGACGTGGAATACAGCCAATTCTACCCAAGCTCTATTACAGTCAAATTCTAATAAGAAAGATACTAAAAGGCCATAAATAGGTCAGAACTGACTTGCTGCATCGCATTGAATGTCTGTTTAGCTACTTTCCTCCAGCAGTGGCCAAAAGCAGATTCCTTTACCCATTAGTCAAGTACGAGGACAAGTAACATTTCCTTATTTATATCTTCTCAGCTTCTGGCAAACAGCAGTAGCAGCACTACCTAATGAAGGCTTGATTACTTTTTAATGTGTTTTAAGTTTACTTTCTATGAAGGCACGTTAAAGATCAACGTATTATCACAGCTTAAGTCAAATTCTGCTCTTAACAAATAATATCCAAGCACTGGGGGGAGTGGGGTGTGTGTGAATCCATTAATCCTTTTATAGCTGTTTATCAAGGACTATTGTCATGCTACCAGGTTTCTAACACAGAACATCTTTTCATTGGCAACACCTGAAGACACTATGTAAAAGTACTATTTAATAAACTTCAGATTTTGTTCCCGTACATGAAAATGGTTCTCTGTCAGCCGAAAACCCACCTCTTTTCCTACTGAAGCCACCAAATTCAGAAGCAAATCTTTCTCTCTTTTGGCTGCAAGGCAAAGGAGGGTGACATTGTGCATTCTCCTTTAACTCGTCTCCTTACTGGCCACTTCCCAATATTTTTTTCAGGCACTCATTTAGCATTTCCTGGCCTGCCAAGGCTCATGTACCACATTGACAGCATCCTACTTGTTTTGCCAAAGAGTCCAGCTCAGCCACAAGCCTACCAGCCAGATGAACAAAACTCACAAGAGTGTTCTGGATGGCTGTGCAGAGCAGATGCAACGTGACTTTAGTCAGGATATCTGTTTCCTCACCAGAAAAAAAAAAAAAAAATTAAACATCCCTCTGCTGTCTGCTTTAGAGGCTTTTATCAATTCTGTAAAGTGCTTAAAAAGAGTCACTATTGCCAAATCAGAGTTACACAGAAGTCAGGATGCCAATGCTCTTCTCCATAACAGCCATTGCCTGTTAAAAGACTAGAAGCATAGAAGTAATACAAAACTTTATTTCAAGGTTTTATCACAAACATGGATTAACTCATTGTGCTACAATAACCAAGCATTTCTCTCATGTGTTTCACTTTTCTTAAGGAAAGGTTTTCCCTAGTTACCTGTGGATCCTCAGCTGGAAAGACATTCAGCTACATGGTTAAAACTGAGAACTCCAATACAAAGGAGTTAATTTATTGTTGTAATGTGGTTCAAATAACCAAAGATACTCACTCCATGTGTGCTCATCTTTGCTCTTTGCTTATAAGCACTGTGCCCAACACACTGACTTATACTGACAATCAGGTTATTAACCATTGTGGGAAACAGAACACATTACACAACTCGAAAGTGATTTAAATCCAAGGGGAAAAAATAACAATCTCCGAGTAGTTCGCATGATGGTCCTTGGTAACTGGATTTACTAAACCCTGCACGACACTACTTTTCAATCGGCAGGTAAGTGGCATTCCTACAGAAAGCTTTACATCTGGTCAACGACTGATACTAGTGACTAAAGTGCAACAATCAAAAAACCTTGGCTGCGCCATCTGTCTGAACAACTCCTACCCCCCACTATGCGATTCAGACAAAGATGTATATACAATATGAACAGTTACCATATATTATCTGGATTTTTAAACTGTGATGCTTTTGGCATGACAATACCCCTGAGCCCATTACTGCACCGGCTGATGTACAGTGCCTGTGTGGACCATCAGTCACCTCTCCAAACACAGATCCCTCCCTCCATCAAGAGATTAGCTTTTTGTTTGTTTGGGGTTTTCCCTTCCTTTTCTTTTTTTTCTTTTTTTAAAGTTATGTGAAAAGTGACAGCAACACCTAACAGGATTATTAGTCTGGTTTCCAAAAACAAACAATCCCCACAGAGCCAAAACTTCCATTTCCAGGGATTTTAATGCAAGATTTTAACACTTAAAATCTCTTTCCATCATGCTCATGGCATGGCAGCAAGCCTTCTTACACTCTGTATTTCCACGCACATGAAACACAAGATCCCCAGCAGCTGGGCAAGGCAGGAGTTAAAACCCAAGAAGTCGCAAGAAGGAGCTGGCAACACCAGAGCTGTTACTAGAAGAGGCACCAAACCTCGCTAGGTGCATGCTTTTTGTAGACAACCTAACAGCCTGAACACAGAAAAATAGTGAATGCAAATGAAGCTTCCAACTGCTGAACACTGCGTGAAGTGTTTCAGATCTGCAGAGGTGTCAGACTTACACTTGTCCTCTCTCAAAAGGAAGGATCTGCACTTGCTGTACGTGAAGTGTTTCAGATCTGCAGAGGTGTCAGACTTACACTTGTCCTCTCTCAAAAGGAAGGATCTGCACATGATGTGAAACAGGGGGGATGCCTGACTACTGCTTAACTCTCTGCTCACGCTGGGCTTCAGGCCCCTGTGGCCCCGGGAGATGTGTCAGCAGCACGATTCTCCCCTCCCTTCATGTGATTTCTGCAAACAGCCCCACCAGGAGCCCTGTTTGATTAAGGATGAACTTTGCACTTGAAGCAGCCTGGTGTCTCCGGGCACTGGCTGGCAGCAGCTTGGAACTCATATGCCTAGACCTCTCCAGCACCAAAAGCCTGCCCATCCTCACGCAGGGGCTCTGCCCAGGCTGCTCCCAGACCTCACCTCTTCCAGCGCCGGGTCCGGATAGTTGTCCAGGAGGGACCGTCGGGGAAGCATGGCTTGTTGCTGGGACTGCATACATTCAACCTGCGTAAATCAGGGTTACGGAAAGAGACTGTCTCCTTGAACTCCAAAGGCTTGTCTCTGAGCACGTATTCACCCCTTCTTGCACCAGCGTATGCCTTGGCACAGCTACCTGGAGGTCTGAGCCGGAGAAACTCTTCCAGTCGCACAGCGGTATTGTTTTGGAGGGCGTCAACCCAGCTCACCAGGCTGACATTCGGATATTTGTGCCATCACAAGGAAAGGTACGGGGCAGGGAAGGAATCAAGCCAGGGGATGCAGGTCTGCCTCTTCCAGCAGCAATACTGACTGAAAGCATATATCAAACCGTAGCCTCAGGCCATTCCTGTCTTGGGCCTTTGCTCCATTCAGTAAAAGGAAGGATTTGCAACTGCAAATATTCACGTATCGGGATTTTCTCTAGTTTCTTTTGTGACTAGACTACTAGTGACTAGACATCTGTGACTGAAGTTAGCCAAAATAAATATATCTTGCAAAATCAAGCTTCCAGACCAAAGCCTCCCTTTATCTTGCTTTAGATGAGAATGTAAAGAAACACTGATGTATTGCAAAGCCATAGCTTTAACCACGTGCACTGACACCGTCCACGAACCATTGCAGCACCCAGAATTGTCATAATCAAAAGGAAAACACCACCACTATAATACAAAATAAATTGACCTTTGGCAATTTTCTAAGTCAATTTTGTGGCATTTGACTTTCATAAGACTGAAAACTGCTCGTCTGGTCCAAAACCAACAGAGAGACAGCTTCCTACTGCGGGAATACAGGCTCCATTATCTCGGTTATCCGTTAACAAAGCATAAGCAGCAGCAGAATATGAACTCTTCATTTATTACGCGCGGTTGTTTTCTGCAACAGACTAGGAGCTTGGCAGGCTGTATTTCCCTGGATGTCTAACATGCACCTAGTCATAGCATCCAAACTCTGCACAGGGTTAAAAAAAACCAAACAGATCCACTCCTCCCAAAAACCAGTATAAAAATAATATCACTCCTGAACATCACAAACATGAGAGCAGCAGGAAAAGCAGACAAAGGAACCAAATGCACATTGCATTATCCTGCAGTGATCATCAGGCTTCCAAGACTACCCGGGAGAAGGAACTGCAAATCCCAGCACCTGCTTAACAAAAACTGCCCCAGGGTCTGGAATGAATGGTGTATCGGCCAGAGCATCTCCAGCAACTCCACTTCTCTGAGCAAGGTTTATGGTTAGCAGGAAAGCAGGAATCTATCAACAAACCTGTTGTCACAGCTTCTGAATTTTCCCTCATGTCCCCTTTTCCAGTCAGTGCCAGCTGGGTCAGCCACAACTGAAGGTGAAGTTGTTTGTGCTCACCCCCTCCTTCGGCCCTGGGATGCTCAATGGGCAGCCCAGAGCGGACCTGAGCGGAGGGCAGCCTCCAGCAACAGCCTCTTCTCCTGGCACGACTGTTCAGCGTACTGCCGGTGTCTCTACAGCCTCAGCATCTCGCCTCAGTCTCTCTGCTGTGCTCTCTTATCTGAGGCACAAAACAGTCTTGGCAAACGGGAACTTTTGCTACGTGGAAGGAAAAAAAAAGTTCTTAAGTCTAAGCTACCTCTGTCGCAGACTCCTTGAATATATTTGAATGCACCCTTCGCCTCTCAGAGCTTCCTTTCCTAAGCTGTTAGTCAGCAGTAATAGTTATTTTCTCAAATCACTGCTTATTTACTTTGTTATTTGGGTTAGGGATCATTTCTGGCTGTTTCTACAAACAGTATCAAATACACCACAGCCTAGCCTCATAGACAGGCTTTATGCACTGACTGTAACACAATTTAACACACAGCATTTATCTCCAAGTTAATCAGGCTCAGTATCACATGAGACACAGAAAACTCTCTGGAACATGACAGATTTCCAGATATTCAAGAGTTCTCAATGTGGCTGAGAAAAATGGGGGAAAAGGCACCGATGGTGCCACTGAAAACCTGACCACTTGCTCTAGAAACTTTCAAAAGGGCTGAAAGTCTGGATCTCACGACTGTTGTCAGGTTCCGAGTCTTTTTTTCAGCCAGTCTCTCTCTGAAAGCCAGAGTTATTCCTCCTTTATCTTCATTTTCGTAAGAGGGCCCCAGGACAGGTCTTAGAAGTCCATGCAATGTTGGCAGCAACTACACCCTATGAAAACTAGTGGCTGTCGTGTTACGTCAGTTAAAACAAAACAGCACAGGTCCCACCTCGTTCCATCCTGGAACTCCAGGCTCCATGCTCTGCACAGCACTTGGCTAATATTTACTGGGGAAGCAGCCTGAGAAGATAGCCTTAGATCAACACGCACCACAGACAGCAGAGGGCTACAGTTTGGGGGGTTTATTGAAACAGCTGCTAATGTAATTATTTTTCAGAATCTGTGGATTTATGCTGGCGATGAGGAGCCCTGCATGGCAAAGAGAGTAGAGAGGAAAAACATTTTTTGTTTTCTTTGTCTGACGAGAGATAACTCCGGTTAGGAAAGGAGTTAAAAGCAGAGACAAGTATTGCACGAGACTTCTGTGGTTTGCAATAAAAAGAAGGTTTATTTCCTGTATGGTTTAGCACACAGAGAGACTAAATTAACTGACAAGACTAAAAGTTTACAGCATTAATTGTTGTTTAAATGCCTAGCAGTATAAAGGCAGTGACTAAAAGTTTACAGCATTAATTGTTGTTTCACTGCCTTTATACTGCTAGGCATTTATGATCTTTAAATAAAAAACGACTTTAAGAAGAAATATAATAGGACCTCAGGGATCCTATGCTAAATCCAGGTGATTCTGATCTGTATTACTTTCTATCTTCGAAGAACTCATATACCACAGACATTATTTAGCAAAAGAGTCTTTTTGATGACTCCTATTCTAAAACTAAACCAAATAAATTTTTCAAGAGAAGAAAGTTTTTTCCCTGAACTAAAATACCTAAATATCGTAATACAAAGGAAGAGGGGATTAAGAGAAAAGCTATGGATTAAATACAAGTTTTCCTCCTCTTTCCAAAAAGAGTCGGGCTGTATTGAGAACAGCAGGTCAGTACAGCCATACCAAAGCATCCCGGAGACAAAAGATTTAGCAAACAATAGACTGTATGGGCACCAGCTTTCTGACCAGTTAACTTGCCTGGGTAACATTTCAAGTGCATCCGGGGGGCCCCAGATCCCCTCTTTATTTCAGTGCAGACTTGGACAAAATATTGTAACTTCCGAAACTGTTTCTTTGAGGTGAGCAGAGGGGAAGATAAAAAAAAACCTCACAAGAATTGGCCACATTGCAGTTTCTAGTAATTTCAGTAGCTGAAGCAATATAGGAGTTGGCCAATTTCTGCTTGCAATAGCCAGGAAGGCCAACATCTGGGGGTTTGCTCTCAAGAGGACTTCTCAGGAGACATCCTGAAGTCACTCTTCACAGGAATTTAAAAAAATGGAGCATTTTCCAATACAGTAAGGTCCTTCCCATCAACAAGCTATTCTCACCCACTGCCATCAGTGCAGTCTGAAGGGAAGTGCCACCTTCCACCCCGGACCAAGAACACTAATCTGGATGCTGCACACGCCTCAGTGGCGGGCACGGCCACTGGCAGAACCACGACCTGGAGGCCACTTTGCAACCCCCCATTGTCTTTTCTAAGTTTTTTAGATGACTCTCGTCACCGTGGTGCTTCTTTTTTTTTTTTTTTTTAACCCACAAGCTTCCTTTTGCCTCTGTGCAAGCTAGCATCTGCATACCACGATCAGAAACTAAGACAAATACACAGTGCATTTTATTTTTTAAAAGATTAAATCCCCCAGGTGTTTATTTGCTGTAGCATGTAGTTTTCCAGGCCTGGGTGAGCAGCCAAAGTAGCTTCATTCCCCTGAAATTCTTCAGTCTCAGCTAATGCTCGATGGCTGGCAGTGTGAGGTGATGGCTATCCTAATGCCTTCCAAGCTGCTAATTTTGGTCCCAAATCATTATATGGAAGACATAGCTGTCTGTCCAGCTGCTCCTCAGTTTATACAGGTGTAAATTCCGGAAAGGAACATTCCCCAAGATAGCTTTATGGATCTACTTTGATCTTTTCACAGCATGCACAACTCATACCTCAGTCCTCTGCAGGTGAAAACTACCTCTGCAGGTAGCTTTCACAGCTACCTCCTGGTACATTTTAATGTGATGAAAGGAAAAAGAAATTTAGAGAAAGATTGCTCAAGTACAAAGGTTTCGTGGACTTAACCACCAGAACCATGAGACTTGCTTATCTGCATTACAGGGTGGAAAGGAATTTCCAGTTCTTAATCAAGATTATCAGGTCGCTAACAAGTAAGTTTGCAAACCTGCCCCTTTTTATCTTTTTATTTCTACTCACATATATTGTATTTCCCAGCTGGGGGGGGGCGGGGAGGGCGGGAAATCCTACATCCATTATCCATAAATCAGCTTCACTTGAATTTCATTTCTATCCATGACCACTGAGAAAGTTTTGGGATGTATTTTCAGTTCATTCACCGAGCTATTCTGCTGCTCTCCCATTCTGCCAGTTGCTCTGCAGCTGCTGCTCTGGCCAAGTACATTTGCAACATGTGCACAGGAATGATCTTGGATAAGTTGCATTAAGTATTTCCTAAGGAGTAAAATCTTGTCCTGCTGTAGTCCGTGCCAAAACTCCCAGTGACATCAGCACAGCCAAAGGTTGATCCCACGAGGTGGATACAGATGTGCTGTTTAAACCTGCCTGAACCACTACTCTCATAAAAATGTGGGTTTACGTGAAAATTATTATTTCACAGCCCAGAGGCTGCCTGTTTTCTGTTTACATTGGGCTTTGCAAGTTTATTTTAACCTATGCCTAAGTCAGGAGGGGCTTCTGATACACCTACCTTATTGCCTAGGTCTAAACCTGATGTATGCCAGCATCTGCTGTTTGTGCTGCAAAATCATGTTGGTTTTGGAATCACTTGCTGTCCGTATCACCAAATGCTGGTGTTTCGTATGTAAGAAATGCTGAGATTGTAACCAGCGATG